TTACCTACCTTAAAGTATGCCGATTATCCCATAATACACATTCGAATTTCATTCTAAGCTACGATCCATTAGAATCACGTAACACGCCCTTTGACTACCATCGAGGAAGAACAATAGGTTATTTTAATGAAGTATAGCACCCAGGGCGTAGCCAATCGACGCTTACGCAGCAAAGAGTATGTAGATACCGTTGAACGGTCAAAACCCGCCGACTATGTAGACCCGGATATTTAGTTACCGATCCATTAGTCCATGAAGAACTCATCAAGATCGATTCTAGATCACGCAGGAATTTTCTCCGTCGAGATCACCTGCTCCATGTGCACGGTCATCCTTGGCGACAGGTATTGCACCTGTAATATACACCTGCGTGCCGATCGGTTAATTTCAAAGAAATTTATTGTTCGGTCCCGATTATCGGCTACTCATCTGGCACTGTTACGAATCGCTTTCCAGGAGTTACCGTTTCGTCTAGTGGTGTTATGACTATCTGGCATCTTGCCGATTAGCATTCAGAACGGTGCGAGCCCTTGCCTTTTAATACAGGATTCCGGAAGAGCTCGGTGAAAAGAGATGTTAACGGGCCTCGACTTTCGTCGCTCGGCCTTTATGTGTTCCGGGTTAACGTCATTAATCTTGTGGAGGGTTACATAATTGTTCACAACATCGTGATTGATTGATTTTGTAAATTTATCGCGATCACCGCCGATTAAATCGTGTATGCCTTATTCATCAATAAGAAATTCACTGTACGAAACATATAATGGTAAGTTATTATATGAAATAATTGAATTGTTCTGTGCTATTACAATGAAGTAAAAACTTTAACAAAGATTTCATGAAACTTCAGAGGTGTGTAAAAAAAATCATTAAAATTTTTTAAGTAATTGTAATTCTAGCTTACTATTTCTTTTCGACTGTGTTAAAGAAATTTAGGTATTTGTAGTATTTCTTAATCTATTATATGTAAAATACAAATTTTGTGCCAACATGAGAATCATCCGTTTTTTAATGTTATAAAATATTAAAATATTCCTCACGTATCTCAACAAATTAAAAATTATTCACAATTTTCTGGTTATGTATCTGACCGTACGAGTAGCCACGTAATCGCAGAACCTTCCGTGAGAGCGGCAGTAAATGGAAGAAAAGCCCGAAGGTGTTCAGGGCGAAAGTGAAATGAGACGAAACGGAGGCGCTGACGTTCACCGCTAATTATCGATCATTATGCGCCCCGTGGGCGGGTAATTGGGATTTATGCTCGGTACCGATATATCTACGAGTAACACGGGCCAGCGACCCGGGGGCGGCGAGAGTTCAGCTTAATGCGCCATGAGTTTCGTTTAATTGTTATTTACGCGAAACGATCACGCCATTCTCACGATCGAAAAGGAGCGGGGGAGGAATAAAGGAAAAGCACCCGAGGAACGTCTCCGCGAAGGTGGACGAATAACGTTGAAACGGGGGCCAGGGGCAACGGGCTGATTTACTGAACTAATTCGCGGCAATTATCAATAGCGAAGAAATAGTGCCTCGAATCACGCGGGTTCCGTAAATCTTTCCGCGTAGCCCTCGAGATTGGGCACTCCGTGCACGCAACCAAGGTTTATTGGTGTCACAGAGAAATGATTAACACCAGAACTAACGAAGCAGTCGAAATGACTGGTACGTAAATTCTTATTAAAATAATTAAAATGTCATAACAGGGTGTTTATAAGGCGATTATTTCAACAAACTGTCCGATTCTAGGACAGGAATAAAATTATAAAATTTGATTAAATTTAATTCTAAGTACTTTTCGTTGCTCACTTGACTGGAGTCATGAACGTTTTACCTGTACAAGTACTTTACAGAAAACTTTTGAACTTCACTGTATTCCTTTCTGAAATTACCTGATCTCCGGTAGCAACATGCAGAGATTGGTCTTAGGTAAATACTAAGAACATAACATGCAGCAAGATGATAAATTGCAGAATGTGGGCTTTAAGAATTTTCTTAAAGGGGCGTGGTAATAACGCCACAAATAAATTATCGACGATGATGATATTCGATGTATCATTTTATAGCGTCGATAAGCTTGCCGGATATGTAATTTAAATTTGCTTCGAACATAAATGTTTACTCTATTTTTAATATTTACTCTACTAGTTACTTTATAATGAAGATGTTCTGATAAATAAGAACCAGTCTTAAAAATTGTCCACGTACTCCGAACAAGGTGACTTCGCAAAGGAAATTAAATTTTTTAATCAATTCCAAATTACGTGAACATTCTATATTCCCTTTGGTTTTTCTTTTTGGTTATCTGGAAATACCTCTGAGAATGCTTCTTCAAGGTGGTGAAAAGGATGACGGACAAAACTGTTGGCTTGATAAGCAATGAGCTTCCAAAAATCATTTTCACATTCACAGAACTTCAACGACGACTTTCTCCGCTATCTTGAAGAGAAATTATTAGAGTTATTTCCAGTATTTTCATAATTACCATGAACAATATTGCTGTTCTAACGTCAAATCAGTAACTTTTGGGAGAAACTATGTAGACGTTGAACAGAACTCGAACAGAACATCTCTCGGATTGTGTGCACCTTGCGCATTTTACCGGCTGGTCCAACGGAATGCCGGAAGTTTCGATGCGTCGTATTCGCCGACGTAAAAGCCATGACAACACCGAGCAATCCGCTGGGCAATAAAATCGGCGACAAGCCGTGAATTCGTGTGACACGACGCCCATAAAGGGATTTATGCGAACGTTCCGAAGGAACGGGCGACGAGATCGTCGGCTACGACGACGACCAAGACGACGTCGGATGGTTATGCTCGTCTCGGAAGCGCGTGTATCGCGAATAGCCATGGGCGTTTGAATCTCAATTTCGATACGATTCGAGGAATTTTCAATGCTGTGAAAATTCGAATCGCTATTTATATATATTGTTTTTACAGTTTACTGTATATATATATTTCGTAGTTTGTTGTACAAATACTTTCAAAACTTTTAATGTTTAGAGAAAATTAGAGGAAATAAATGATGCATAATCTATAAATTGGGGAAAAAATAACTTTCTCGATTTTATTATTCATTGAATAACAGAATTGCGTTAAAGGTCGTATCTTTCAATCTATCTAAAATGTTTATCTGTTCAAATATCTGTTTCAAATAATAGATATTCAATATTCCCCAAGCTTTTAAGATCTGTCAAATATTTCAAGACTTTGAAAACTTTCAAGACTTTCAGCATCTATCGAATTTTAAAAGACTCAAGATTCAAGACTTCTCCAGGCTTTAAAGAGCTTTAAGTATCGAACCATGTTCGAAGTAATTCGCATTTCCCGCCAGATATATCTAGGTATAATATATATTCTAAGCTGTTCGAAGTGCTTGGGTGACCATTACTATGTAATCGCAAGATCCTGTAAAAAGCGCGTCGCGTATAAACTTTGTTGCGTAAGTAGACGCAGAAGACGGTAATTACGGGACATTGATAACAACCAGCCTACTACCTGATCTTGACCACGGTGGAATGATACCGCGAAGACGGAGAATTAATCGTTTATCATGGATATTTATGCATTTACGTTACCGAGCCTAGAGTTCTGGAATAAGTTATCGTATTTCATAATCTTTCGTGTAATGGATAACGAATATAGTGAACCTATGCAGACGCCCTAATTGGGAATACGTGAAAGGGCAATTTGAATATTTGCCAATTATTCGGTTGTAAAACTGATATCTGTCGTATATTGTAACATTAAATTGTAGAGTACAGGTGTATACAGGTACTGAACCACTGTGCCTATTCCCCAACAAACAGTACGACCATCCTTTTTTATTAAAGCATCATACCGGGAACTTTACAGATAAAATGTGTATGTACAAGCCGTAGAGCTCTTAGAGATCGCGAAGATGGGAAACTGAAAAGGTTGCGGAGAAAGAGGAGTCGTATTCAAGTAGTAGCCAACAGAGGAGAGAATCAATCGAGCCGATTGAAGATTGATTAGGCGGTTGCAACGCCGTCCGAGATTTAGCATGCGATGCAATTTCTTTGCCGTCTATCCTTTGTGTCGGTGGATCTTTGGCTTCCCGATCCTTCTGCATCTGGTCCCCCGTTCTCCCCTCCCCTCGATACCGGATCTCAAGGCACAGGGACGATGCGAACAAACCGTTTGAATAGTCATTCGGAAAATAGTTGTCGATGCAAGAATATTCCGGGTATGGATGGACGAGGAAAAGCATGAAAAAAGCCATCCAGGAGATCGCTTTCCAGACAGCAATATGTATCTACCGATACTACGATGTATACTCTATCTATTAAGTGTTTATTTTATATTGTATTCAAGTTTTATAAGTATTTAAGTTGCTATTATGATATTATTTTATTTTTCCGATGGAGAATTCTATGTTTACCAGAAAAATGGTTGAAAATTACAGAAAATGAGCGGAACTAATTCGATATTAATAATTGTTGTCGATGAAAAAACGGCCATTACTATTGCACACACCTGATATTTATATGTATAGTATTTAGCTAAGGCTCCATGTGGCACTTTCTACTTTCTATCAATTTTAAAAAATTGGAAAGTTCGTAGTCCAGTGCATATGTATGTACTGTAACTATTTATTATCGCTCTCCAGAGCGATCAGCTTTGAATCGTTCCGTCCGTATAGGGTTAAAGAACGTATCCCGTCACAAGTTTCATACGGTTCGTATCCTCCGAAAAAAAGAGTGAAAACTAAAAATAGCGCGCCATAACCTAAATTCTTGAGCGATTTAACGCGAAATGGCCCGTGCCTGCGTTCTCGCCGATTGACACCGAGCAAACATCGAGCGCCAATAAAACGCGTTCGACGCGGCACAATCCGATTACGGTTTTCAATTTTCTCTGTCGGGCGAAACTCATTTTAATCCCGTTATCGGGCCCGTTTGATTTACGAGCGCCCGATGTAAATCACCTCGGTTCCTCGAGTGTCTAATAAAACGTAGGAAATCGTGCAAACTCACCGCGCCGACTTCTCGCCCTCGTAACCCAGCAGGCTACGGTGTTCCTCCAAATGGCCGAAGAGGTTTTCCAACTCGGTGAGCTGCTCGTTCCGTGCGGAGGTCGCCTCTTTCAGGATCTGGAACGAAAAATGGAAACGATCGTGATGATACGCGATCCATGGTTAACCGGCTAATTCGATGGGCAACGATGGCTCGAACTTATGATCGCGAAATTATAGGGAGGGTGGGGAGGCTTCAGGTTTGCAGGAAGTTTTCGCGGATGAGATCTCTCGCACGGGAACGAAAAGGAATGGGCGAGCGGTTGCTACGAGCGGAAACAAATCTGACGCGAAACGATTCCAAAATGGCGCAATGTCGTTTGCAAACGAGGGGGGTTGAATTCGTGGAATGAAACGGGTGATTTCGTTGGTTAGCTTGCCCGAACAATGCACTGCTTTTACCGTTTCAAATGGCTTTCTTGCGACACGAATGGGCGACACCGGTGGATAGCGTTCTCCTGCTATTTTTATGCAAATGGATTGATCGATGCATGTCTTTAAGGAAATTTCAATTTCAGGGATTTTTGTTTGTCGTGTCACTACCCATGGCTTTTCCTGTGCTTTGTGAATTACAAACTCGAGATTTAAAATGTGAAATACGTTGATACTGATAATAGTAAATTGCAAGATACCATTATAATGCTCGTTTTAATATAGTAGTATACAGTTTGCATACTTTTGCGTACAGAAATGCATCGCCCCATCCAAAATATCATGGAACAGCGAATTAAATGGCATCTTTCAGCAGTGTAAGTTCTTTCCGACAGAATAATACGATAACATTTGATGTATAGACATCGATTTACAAATTCGGTCGACGAAGGAACCACTTCCCTTGTGTCACAAAAATACAAAAATCGCCACTATCTCCAACAATCTATTAATTCCCCAAGTTATACATATTTACCGCTTTCCTTTCATTCGATATATCGAGTACCACACAAACAAGTAGCTCTTCATTTAACGCCTCGTGCATCATCCGAAAATAGGCAAAAAAAAAAGGAATTAATTTTTCCAACCCTTTGATGTTAGAAAGATCTCTTAATTCTATCCGATGTGCCTAACAGAATGCTGAAAAACAACGAGGAGACAAGTGGAACAAATGAAGGAAAGGGATCCGATGCCAATGGGAAGAGACGAAAGGACCGAAGGATGGTGTAGGAGGCAGAAAAAAAGAGGAGAAAAAAAATATATCGATGGCAGCGTCCCTCGAAAATAAAATCGGTTTTCCGATAACTGGTTATTTGCTCGCACAAGTGGCTCGCTGACTGGGCGAGCACATCGAAAGCGGTTTTCGCGTGTAATATTATCGAGTTATCGGTAGGAGAAGAGGGCATTGATCGGCCGCCGGAGGGACAGAGGAAGGAGGGTACGGCGAGCGGGACGCTGGGAAGAGACAGCGAAGAGGGTGGAGGAGGTGGAGGCGGAATAGGTGGATACGGAGGATAGGGTGGGTGGAGAGGGCTAGACGAGCGTGCATTGCACGAGCACAATATATCCGCGTGATTACAATATGTCGGTGCTCGAGAGACCAATATCAACCTGAAGTCGGCTCAGCCAATGCTAATAATCCCTATTGTTGGTGTCTCCACTCGACTGTCTCTCGCGATCGGATACATCTTGTTTCGAAATTTCGAATTGCCTCGTCGTCGAGCGGACTGCGTGTCCGCCATCCCTCTGCAGAGGGAGTTTTGTCGCGGTGGTATAACTGAATGGAACAAAAAGTTTATTTTTCCACGAGTCCGTATAAATTGTATGGAATTCTCGCTGTAACTCACGAAAAGGTTTGATTTTAATATAATTTAAATGACATCTAGGTCTAATTTTAACCTCAAACAATGATCGAAAGAACCACATAACACAATTATTATCAATCTTTTTAGCCTTAATAAAGAAATATCTCAACTAGCCAAGTTGCAAACAAAGATCTTTCGTCCCGTAAACTGCTGTACGTGATTTCACCAGTACCTGCCTTTGAACTAGTTAGTAATACTAGCTCAGTAACTATAATAATTTCCATAACTTTTGTTTGGATGATAAAATAATTTTCTCGATGAAAATAATTATTACTTGCGAAGGCAAGAATCGATTAATAAAAATCGAATTTAATATGGTGACTGGGCAAGTAATGAATCGCGCAGCAGCGCGTGGCGCTAGAAGAAGGGACCATAATGGCGGTCGGATACGCGATGAAAGAAATCAAAGTTGTCCTCGACGTTTAACCCGGCGTCGGTAGGCCACCGTCGCCTTTCACACGTCCTACACGAAAGACAACGAAGCTCGATCTCTTTCAAAACAATTACGCATTCTTCAGCGCCAGTTCTCCCACGTCGACATTATCGTCTTGCCTCGGTGTACGCCAACTAGATGCTTACCTGTACCCTTTTCAGAAAAGACCATGGGAGTGTCGTATTCAGAGCTATCATTTTCGACTACTTGTGTACGAAAACGAGACTTTTGTCCTCATCAATTAATTACTATAGTATCTAAAAAATTTATCTAAAAAATTATCACATCCGAATAACCAGTAATTACGAACGACTGGATAATCAGTAATTCTTATACCATTCTGTGCATAATAATTAATCTCAGTTTAAAAATCGTTTTCAATTCGCAAATCATTATTCACCCTCCGCAAGTAATGACAAATAATCTAAATCGACTCTAATACTCGATTCCCGTGACGTTACAATGTATCGACCACACCATACGATCGTTCACGCGTGATTAATCCACGTCTAAAGATCAAAACAAGGGTGTAATTTCCACTATGGGTATCGAGCCAATCGAAGATGGCACGAGGAGCACACGGACGGTTAATCAATAACGATTAATCAAACCGATCGAGTTTCTCGAACGCCTTTTAAATGTACATAAAGATTTAATTGGACACTCGCATCGTACCCCGCGAAGATTTCCGATCGGGGGAGCAATTTAAATTCAATCTATTCCGGATCGACTGCACGAATCCTTATCGCCTGGCGGTCATTCGAAACCGGAGCATGGTATCTCGATAACGAAAACTGGCTCCATACTTCTTGTCGAAAAGGCACGGGCTGATAAGGGACGCATCGGCTCGTTAATCAGCCTTAGAAATGATACAGGCAGCATCGTTGGGGGGCGTGTGCAATTACCTGCTTGTACCCGGTTACAATATTAATTAACCAGTGACTGTACGCGTATAACCACATTATACTAACTGACTATGAGTTCGCTTCAGAATGGAAGCTTTTTATGGCAGTGATTGCCTACTGCTTAAGATAAAACTCGTGCGACATTACGTATCCACTTCGTATATGCAAAATGAACGTTTATCGATTCTAATAAAATGTGACTCTGAGAAATGTGAGTATTATCTTTTAATGTATAACTACGTAGAAAAATTCCTACCTATGCTATAGTGTATATTACTTTTGTGCATCGGCTTGTTTTTAAATATTTTACTATTCTGTATATAAATTTTACACGTTAATATCATTCTTGAGGATTCAAGTTATGTGCCTGAACCTAGATTTGCTTTTCTAGTAGTCGTTTTAAATGGCCACATGAGAATACGTGGGTGTATAAATTATAGCATTATTATGATGTATACATTGTATAGTTCTATAATAAGCAGCGATGCTAATCAATGCTAATGCATGGAAATTTTCTTTACAACTGTTTGTGATGTACAATGCTGTTGAAAATTTCACAGCATTTAAATGAAACAGCGTTGAGAATTTAATGATCACTTTGAAATCATTTCAATGCACCTCTGTTGTATTAAGATTTAAACGTACATATTAATTCTTCATTCCATTCAATTGTCATTCAGGAACACTTTCAATTCATATATGTTACAACTCTAACAGGGACTTTCTATTGTTGGTATACGGTAGTATTTTGTTGCAACGAGCAACAAAGCTGAACAACAATACGAAACAAAACGAAACAACACAAAATTATGTGTTTTCATTCACAAAATTAGTTAGTGTTTCATACGTTAATTAGCGATAGTTTAAGAAATGTTTATACATTTCAAGTGTACATGCTTCTCAAATATTAACGCTTTGTAAGTATAAATATATAAATATATACTTTCAAGATTTTTATATTCTGATATAGATGCAGAACATCTGTATAATGAATTAATCGCGCGATTAGTTTATTGATGTTGTTGTCGAAATAAAAAAGGGAGAAATTGTTGAAATTGCATGTTTACTTTCACTCAGCGGATGGTCATTTTCACAATGCCCATGTGGGATGTAATTACTAAGTATACATTACGGTTCGGTGCTCGACGAAAATAGCGATTTCAGTAAATATTGTTGAGTTAGCAGTAATTGCGGTCCAGGGAAGCGTAATACCAGTGTTTACATCAGTCATGAAATAATTGTTGCGACCGTCGGTCCATACTTTCGCGGTGCACAATTTGTGGGATGTGTAATTCAGGAAGCGAGGAGGATGTTCATTGTATCCTTGAAAACTGTGTTTTAAGGATTCCTTGCTTGTTAACAGTCTCAAAATCAAAATCACAAAGGAACATTAAATTCAGATTACTAACATTAAGTTCTGATTAATTATTAAAAAGAAAAAGGAACTAAAAGAAGAGTGATGCCTGTTTTTTACTTGAAATTGCCATCGAAGCAGGAACTGTTTTTAGGATGTTTCAAATATTATGTTTCAAGGCCTATCATCATCATGGCTATACACACCAGTAATTCTTTAATTAACCCTAAGTTATTAATTTATGCAAATGGTCAATAATCTTATAAAAATTTGTGTTATATTGATCAATATTACAATAATTAAGATCTGTTTTTTGAAGAGACATTCGCAGTTCAGTCAACACAAACCACGTGGTATCCGCAGTAAGCGTTTAAGTTTGGTGTGCTCCGCACTAAAATGGTTAAAGAAGGTGACACCTCAATAACAACTATGCGTAGAACACACACACAAACCAAAGTGATGCCTGTATTTTCCGCTAAACACTTCGATATGTTAATAATGAAAAGTCTAACCGACCGATTATCCATTCTATATCTTCATCTGTAACAGGTTTACTGTTCCACTTCTCACGTCCTAGGTCCCCTTTCGCC